TCCGCCGGTGCGCAGGGCGCGCGCTTTAATCTCGGGGAGAGTTTAACATTTCTGGATAGTCATTTAGATGTGGTGTGCGGGTTAAACATAACGTACGATCGCTGCTCCTCTCATTGCTTCCAATTAAACCTTGCTTGTTAGTTTAACCTCTAGGTAATCCCATCAAACAATTGATGTCAAGGAAACACTGCCCACAGTGGCTCTGGATGAGTGGCCATTAATTTTAATTGCCTTGATATTAAAGATTAAGAAGTATTGGGACTAGCAGAATGGAAACGATCTGATGTCAAGCAAATCCACTCGTTGAGGCTTCCCCAGGCTGCTGGTGATATTAAAATTTTACTGTGAGAATTAAATAAACCTTTATTAGTGATGGCTGTTGTTTGATTGGTCCAGGAGCGTGCATAAACAGAGGGGTCTCGCACACATCCGTGGACAATACAGTTGATGTACAGAGATTCCTCAATTATGAAACTGTTAATAAAGCATAATCTGATTGTCCACAATAATTATTTGCTAGGTTTCATTAATGTATTATTGCTTCTCTGACTGACAAGGTAATATTAAGAGCAATATATAGAATACAGTGGAGTATTATCTAGGGAGCAGAATGTATAAGGTACCGCTCATATTACCATTAAAAGCTAGAGGCTTTTCATTAATTGTGTTTAAACAAAAGCCATGGCTACATAAAATACAGCAGGATCTGTCCCCTCCCGGCAGCGGGCTGCCTTCCCAGGCGCTGCGGTGCGGGTGCCCTGCCGGGCGCGGTGGTGGGGCACGGGGTCCAAGAGCTGCTGCGGAGCTGCCGTGGGGCTGCGGGGCGCCCCGAGGAACGCGGGACCCCAGCCCCTGCCTTGCCCCGTGCCGCATGGCTGGGGCCCTTGCTTGGCCCTCGTCCGTGGTGCAAACTGGGTTTGTTACTTAGGAGCTCTGTTACGGAGCCGAAGTTAAACAAAGCCACGGAGAAAGTCTGCACGAACTTTGCTGAGCGGCTCCAGCCGTGGCCTCTGGGGGGGTTAATAGTCAGTGCCCCATGAGCCATCTTGGCTCCGGTACAGTATCTTCAAAGGGAGATGACAAAGTGACCTTTCAGCCATTATTGATTTATATGATTCCTTTCATTTTCAGCCAACCAAACACGATTCTGTGAGTGAGCTGCCAAGGTTGTTCCAGCCCAAAAATAAAGAACAATTGCTCTCGCTGCCTGCCTGCCCTCGCCCAACCGGGCCTGGGTCCCCCTTCAGCAGCTTTTGGGGTCTTGCACTGATTTCGTTGACAAATGGCTCACAGTAGTAGGAGACGGTGCTGTACTAAATGCTACAGTGAGCTCCAGGATATGTGTTGTCATCAGAGTCACCCCTTGTGCGTCAGCTTGCCAACAGAGAAGCAGAGCCAGGTCGCGCTCACGCCCGTAGTAATATTTAACTGGTCCTCGGTTACTGCTTAGGTCACTGGAGGACTGGGCAGGTACGGGGTTGGGGGCTGGGCACGCACATTTGTCAGACCAAACACGACATCTCAAAGTGATCGTGCTTTGCCAGGTCAAACTTTGTGTCCTTCACTCTTCCCACCTCTCCCCACTGCAGGTGTCCAACTGGTTTGGCAATAAGAGAATCAGGTACAAGAAGAACATCGGGAAATTCCAGGAAGAAGCCAATCTCTACGCGGCAAAGACGGCTGTGACCGCAGCACACGCCGTGGCCGCGGCCGTCCAGAATAACCAGACAAACTCCCCCACCACACCAAACTCTGGTACGTACCCGGCTCGTGCGTTCGAGCACCCTGACGGGCAGTCCGTGAGGGAAGGCCCTCGATGGCGCCCTAGTGAGTTGGGTCGGGCTGAGAAGGCTGCGGCTCCCTAGCAGCCCTGACCGGGGCATGGGGAGTGGTACCAAGCCCGTGGACTCCAGGCTGGACCACTGCGAGGGCTGGGCCGTAGGTGGTCCCAGTGGCTTCGGCAGCGAAGCTCCCGCGGCCTCACAGGGGCCCAGGTAGTTCCCACCGGGGCAGCGTCTGCCTGGCTCAGGCTTCTGGCAGCTTCTTTGTTTCTGTAGAGGTTTTAAGCTTTTTCTCATTCAACGAAAATAACACAAAATGAGGCAGAGCTCCAAGGCTGGTTTTGTAGAACTGTTAAATTTATTGTCAAGATAAGAACAAAACAGAGGAATATATTAGCATGCACTAATTAGGATTTAAGCTCTGGGTCGCCTCAAATGGAGTGGATGTTACACCTAGAAGTCTAAGGATGCAGCTTTTATTTTGGAGCTGCTCTGCCACGTGTTCTTCTGCCGTATTTAAAAGCTGTCTCGCTAGTGTGTTGTTGACATTTTGCAAATCTAAGCTTTAAATTAGTAGGGGGAGTGTTTAAAGAGGAAGTTGCTTTTTCGGGCTCCAGAGGCAAAGGTTTCCATGAAGCACAGATGTGTTCGACACTATTTACAGTGGAGTTTTGCTGTGACTTAGTTGTAGACAACTTTTAAAGGGTATAAAGATCCACGGGGGAAAAAAAAAACTTTAATCAAAAGAAAGTAAGGCAAGGTTCCTCCTCTGACGGTCATAAATCGGCTAATTAGAAATTGCCAGCCATTTCCTTTCGAAGGAGACATTAAGCACAGACTCAAAATGAGTTTTTCTCCAAGTGTTTGGTGAGAGCATCGCACGATGCAGCGATCCGCTGGAGGAAAGCTCTCCACATGAGAACCTGGTGTGGTGCAGGCTGCTCTTCCAGAGGGGAAAGCCGGCCCTGGCCGCAGGGGGCTTCCAGGCTTTCCCAGCGTAGCGTTCCCAGGCGGCAAAAAAGCTCGCCCTGCGCCGGGGCCAACAGCTTCCCCTCTGCTGCGCGCTGCCTTTCCTCCTCCTCCTCCTCTCCTCTCTTCTGCTCCTTCCCCTGCCCTCAGGTCTCTGGGGTTATATATTTGCAGCTCTCTGTTATTCAGCTACCTAACTCTTTCCTTTCCAGGTTCTTCTGGTTCTTTTAACCTCCCAAATTCTGGGGACATGTTCATGAACATGCAGAGTCTGAATGGGGATTCTTACCAGGGGTCCCAAGTCGGAGCCAATGTGCAGTCACAGGTAGGAGAAATGCCCCAAAGTAGGGCCTTTCTAGCAGGGTAGGGCTTGGGCTAAAAATTCCACCTTACTCTGGCTCTATTCAATGGTCTGTGCCTCGCTGCAGAGTGGAGGCTGCATATTTCTGAATGTGACCTATTCTTACCCCAGCATTGAATTTCACAAATATAAAGGAAAAAGGGATTTTTTTCTGATTGAAACTTTAAGCTTTGTGAATGCATTCGGCTCTGGCTTGAGCTCATGGAATGGGATTGGGTGCGTCTGACTTCCATGGACACTGTAAATCCAGTGAATTCGCTTTCTTTTTTCCTTTTCCTTTTTTTTTTTTTTTTTTATTTAAACATCTTTCCTTCATTTATTGGACAAGCTTTTATTTATTTATTTATTTATTTAAACGTCAGAACACATCTAACTGAGCTGTTGAAATACAACTCCTTCTCAGTCACTTTTCCAGTCCTTTCAGACAGGGCTAACTCCGTTTTTTAAGCGCAGTGTATTTGCCATAATCTCCTCCCACACATGCAAGCACCTCCAGACGTACAAACACGCACAGCACTTTGCTGCAGACACTTAGGAAGGACCTACGGGACGCACTGCTTGAGGAAGTGGTTGGTTGGCTGGTGTGAGAAGCAAAGATGTATGGGCTTTAACCTGTGAGGGTTTGTTGCAATTCTGCCAGTCACTCCTGATTGATAAATTTGCCTTTCATAGAAGATGCTAAACCCTTTTGGCTCGCATAATTCAAAATGTTGCCTGTTGTAAGCAATGATGTTTTAATAGATTTGGAATGATGAATTTTGTTTCCCCTTACTTTAAGGTGGATACCCTGCGTCATGTTATCAATCAGACGGGAGGATACAATGATGGCTTGGGAGGAAATTCGCTGTACAGTCCACATAATTTAAATGTGAGTACCCGGGGGAGCAATAGTGTGGAGAGCCGTAAGCACGGTGTCAGGTAAATGCAGTCATTAATACACATGTTAATTACTCTCGCAACAGTGGGTTTTTTTGATATCGCGTCTTTGGGGATGAACCGCGGAGTAGCCCTTGGTACGGCCACGAGTCTTTACCTCGTCAGAGGAGAGGAGTCCTAGAGCCGCCACTAGACGCGATGCGAATTTTTATATTTTTCAGCCGTTAAAAAGTAACGGCCTCGGGGAGCAGGCTCCTCTCTGTGCGGAGCTGCTCGGGTGGCTCCGTACTTGTGTTTGCTGCTGCCCGCAGCCCGGCGCCTGGACGCTGCTTTTGAGATGCTTTCAGCCATTCCAGGGGTGCTCGCTTCTCCTGCGCTGGGGAAGAACCTCTGGCCTCGCTGCTGCAAAGGGGGGAGCAGTAAGCCTGGCAGGCGCATGCTGGTAAATTGAGGGGTTATGGGCGTGATGGTGATAGGTGCTGAATGTCCTACCTCTTGCTGCAAGGATGAGGTCTGACAGCGCCCTGGCCCTCGCAGGCTGGACCCCGTAGCCTGCACGCAAGGCGCCGGGATAAATAAACACAGAAATCTGTCGGCAGCGAGCCCTGCGAAGACAATCACACGCCGCAGCCGGGGCTCCATGGCAGCTCCTTCGCATCCTTCACTTCCAGCTTGCTTCTCTCATTTACAACTTCAACAATTAATGGTGGGTTTTGGTTTTTTTTTTTACTGTTTCGTATTGGCTCCAGAGGTGACGTTCATTTGTTTTCCTTCGTATTCACGGGCTTCAGAATTACTGTAGAGCACTCCCTGTCTGGCGACCACCTCCCCCGTCGCGGGGCTGCCCCTGCCTTTCACGACCCGCTGTGGACCGGGGTGCTGAGCAGTGTCGGGGACCTGCGGGGAGGGGGGCTGGGGGGAAATGGGGAGACCCGGGGTGAGGCACCGCAGCCACAGGCAATGGGAGGTTGTTCCCCCTTTTTGGGTTTCCACTTGCCACGAGAGTAAATATT